ACTGGGGGCTGAACTGGGGACTGAGTGACTGCGGTCCCTGGCCCCAGGAGGCACTCATACTAATTTTGTGATACCATTTTATGAACAGATATCACCACTGACATTTTAAGATACTTGCTTTTGGTTATTTTGTATTAATCTTGATTTATTTATTCAACAAGTATTTATTGAATGCCTGCTATACACTAGACTCTTGGGATATTATGATGAGTTTAGAAGTTTATAAAACAAATGGGCCAGGTTCAATAGCTCATGCCTGTAATCCTAGCACTTTGGGAGGCCAAGGGGGAAGAATTGATTGAGGCCAGGAGTTCAAGACCAGCCTGGGCAAAATAACGAGACCTCATCTTTACAAAAAATAAAAAAAAAATTGAAAAAGCCAGGCATGGTGGCATGTACCTATAGTCCTAGCTACTCGGGAGGCTGAGGCAGGAAGATCACTTGAGGGGTCAGGAGTTCAAGGTTGCAATGAGCTATGATCACACCACTGCACTCTAGTCTGGGCAACAGAGTGACTCTGTCTCTAAAATAAAATGGTGCCTAAGTTTTTATATATAAATAATATATAAAAATATATTACCAGAATATATATATATATATACACAGTAGTTTATATCACTTGGATTGCATGTTCATTTTTAAGAACTCTTAAAATTTCTACAATGAATACAATGGATTAGGAATTTTTTTGAAGTTGTTTAAATCTCCAGTGTCTTTTTAGAACATTACATATTACTGTAGGGTAAATTACTATAAAATGCAAAAAAAATACACAAATGAGTGTGAAGATAAAATTTTAATTTGTGATACTGAAGTAGAAAAAATCTTGACAATAGTTTTAAAATGAATAGTGAAATATGTAACTTCACAAAAAAGTATTTGATACCTTTATCATTTATGTTTTAAGGTGCAGGTTAACATTTTTTATTTAACCATCCACTTTTTCTTTCTCTTCTTGGTGTACTGTTTTCCGGGATTTTATCTTATTCTTCTTTCCTCCTAAATATATCAATTCAGGAATTCTCCTTTGGACAAAACTGTGGGTGGTCCTCAGAGCTGATCCCTAATTCCCTGATCAGTAATTCTGTTTTAAGTTCTATTTTGTATAGAAAAAAAAAATGAGTTGAAAACTGTATATGCTTCCATCTGAGGTCTTCAATGGGAAAACTATGAATTTAGTCTGGCTGCCAGCGCCAGGGTCTGCTGGAACAAAAGAAAATGTACCCTCTTGGGACCTTCCATCGAGTGTGGCGACTGTACAACCTGCCTTATTGCTTAGTTTTAGTTGTCATCGAAAACTTCCAACAAGAATACTTCCTGTTTGACTTTTTCCCCCGCAGTGGAAAATATTAGACACTATCTAAGTAGACCAAAGAGACTGAAAATCCAGGACAGATTGAATGATAGCAGGGGAAGTAAGGAAGGAAAATCTTAATAGAAAAGAGGTGAAAGAAAATTTCCAAATTGATGGGTGGAGAGGGGAGGGATATCATTAGTAGATATACATAATGTAAATGATGAGTTAATGGGTGCAGCACACCAACATGGCACATGTATACATATGTAACAAAACTGCACATTGTGCACATGTACCCTAGAACATGAAGTATTAAAAAAAAAATGTCTTGGGCTTCAGGCAGAAGGGATAGTTATTTTCTGTGAAGCCCGTTGCCTTTCTCTCCCCTGTATTTCTAGCCCACATTGCCCCTCATCCAACTCCTGCAGTCTTCCTGCCTCTCCATGTGCTCTCATTCTTTGTCATCACGTTGCTCACTTATAGGGAAGGTATCAGTGACTATCCACTAATTCCTGCATAATGTGCAAATTCCTTAGTTTAGTAAATCAGTGCCAGCCACAATCTAAATCTATGTATTTAACCTTATCTCCCACCCCTTTATCCATGTTCCCTTTGCTGTGGCCAGTTAAGATGGTTAACCTTGTCCGGATCATGTGTGGTCTTTGCACATCTCACACTGTCTTTTTGGCGTGGGAAGGAACTGTCATCTTTGCCAGTTGCAATCCTACCCAAACTCTGAGATCCACCTGCTTCCCAATGTTTTCTTAATCACAGCAACCTGATCCAGATCCTTCCTTATCTGGACTACTATGTGACTGCTCCTCTCCTTTCCTGACTGCCTCATGTTAGTTTTTTGTTCTTGCCTTATTTTCCCTATATGATCATAATCTCCTTGTGGGGCAAAGAACACATCTCTTCCTCCATATTTCCTCCATAGTGCCTAGCATATTACCTTCCTTATAGTACTTGAGTAATGAAAATGTATTGGATGATGATCGAAATCTCATTTGAATCAGGTGGTCTAACACAGATGGCACATTTTTTTGTGCCTGATATTATGCTTCCTTCTGTAGAGAAATAAAATAGGTATGCAAGTCTTCGTTACTAAATGGAGACTTACAGTACCTGTAGCAGTGAAATTTAGTCAGTGGGTCCAGCAAGAACAAAACCTCTCACCTTAGCCAGGCATCTGTGGGTATCTGAGCACTCACTGCCATCCAGTGCTCAAATCCAGTGCCGCGGGTTCCCAGGCAGGGGTGATTACACAATGGGAAGGAGAACTGAAGTACTGCTAGGCCTCCTGAATTTCTTTTTGTTGGTTTCTCTCTTAAGAATGTAGTTCCTTTCCTAGTGAATTATATGCATCTAATTGCCAGAGATATTTAGATGTTTTTTAACAGTAGACCAAACATTACAAATGTTCCATTGATGATGCATGTGGGAAGAAGTGTTACAAATGTTTTTCTCCCACTTAATTTTCCTGTGTGAACTAAATCCAAACATATCTGAATTTTCATAATTCAAAGAAAATATCTGTGCCAACATTCTGAGAACAAATAGCTGCCAAGCAAAACCTGACAGCATATTCCTTGGTGGTATCCAGTCCTTAAAAGCTGTGTACACAGAGTGAGCAGCTATCTAAAGCTGAGCTCATATGCAAATGTGAACATTCCTCACTTAAAATTACATTGTGTACATTAAAACTTTCTCTAGAGTCTATGAAATGTTCAGGAAAAATATAGCTGAGCTTGATCTTAAGTACCTTGCCTCATTATTTTTTTTTGTCATTTCCAGCTACTAGTCTGTCCAAAGAAAACAACTTTATTTCTTTTAGTTTTGTGTGTACCCTGAGCTTGATTCCCAGTTGCTGCTATAAAAAACTGAAGTGGTTCCAAACACTGCTATTTTTCTTTTTTTCTCTGTTACTAATATTTAAACATCAAAGATATTCTGGTACTTTTATGTTGTAGAGTGTATATAAGACCATATTTTCCCTAAAGGTATTTGCTATCCAGGGGGTGTGTGTGTGTGTGTGTGTGTGTGTGTGTGTGTACACACACACGTGTGTTTTCTTAGCTGTTAGCCTTTTTTAGAAGTCACCTAACTGATAGCCTTTTCCTATCACAAGATCACTGGCTGTGTGTGGAGGAAGAACTGGAGTGAGGCCGTATTAACAGCAGGGAGATGAGTTAGGAGATTTTTTTAAATAATGTATTCAGATTTTTTTTTAAAAAAGCCCTATCTTAACATCGAAAACGTATGCTGTGATGACCTTGGGAATTTTTTAAATTTAAGCATGTTATCAGGACTCCTCCTAAGGCTGAAACTAAAAAAATAACCTGCTTCCACCAAGACATTTAATATTATGGCAATTTCCATGTAAATCCTTAATGTATTTATTATTAGGGCCTTTTATGATAGTGTTACAGGATGTTTTCAAAGTTTTATTCTGTCTACTAATTGGGAGTTTTTCATGAGATTTACCTTTGGTTAGCTCTGTTAAAAAATTATATGTGATGTGAAAGAAAACTTTAAATTGTTTGCATATGATATAAATACATTTTCTTAAAATATCAGTTTTCGGTCAGGTGCAGTGGCTCACGCCTGTAATCCCAGCACTTTGAGAGGCTGAGGCAGGCAGATCATGAGGTCAAGAGATCAAGACCAGCCTGGCCAACATGGTGAAACCCCACCTCTACTAAAAATACAAAAATTAGCCGGGTGTGGTGGCACGCCTGTAGTCCCAGCTACTCGGGAGGCTGAGGCAGGAGAATTGCTTGAACCCGGGAGGTGGAGGTTGCAGTGAACCGAGATCGCGTCACTGCACTCCAGCCTGGTGACAGAGCGAGACTCAAAAAAAAAAAAGTCAGATTTCTTTCCTTGTACTTACAAATCATAGAACATTTTTTTCATTTAAACCTGTTTCCTAAAAAAGTACTAATTATTGTATATATATTTTGAAATACTCATGTAGTTAAACTGATCTTCTCAGCTGCAGTTAGTGGGTAAAAGTAGAAATAGGACATATCTGACCCCAAAATAAATCCAAATATGACCAGACATGGCAATGCTACATGAATAAATATAAATATGTGTCAGGAGACTCAATTGGTAAACGTTACAGTAAGTACATAACAAAAAAAATAGAACAAATGCATCATATCTTACATTTAAAATGTTGAAGGTATTTCTAATTTGATATATCTGATCTCATAAGGAGAGTATATTAAATGAATTGCATCTTCAAACTGCTATTTTGTTCTTCATCAAAAGAAAAAAGTAAGATATGGCAATTTATGGTTAAAAAAAAAATTTTTAACTTTAATTACTGTCTAGCCATAAGAAGGAATAAACTATCAGCGAATACCAAGGTTCTTTGATCTCACACTTCAACCTTTTTGTCCTCCAGATGAATGAAATGATCTTTTCTCAAATGTTCAGCAGGCCTTTTACCATTTGATAGGACAATTATTTTTAAGAAGGTTTAAAATGTGATCTGAAAAACCACATTGACTCTATGTGGCATATTTGCTATTCTTAGCCTGGTGGAATAAGTTGGAAGTGGATGAATAATGCAGGTTAGAAAGAAAACAGATGCGAAATATTACAAATGGAAAGGTTTTCCAGCAATGAGACTTTCATTTTAGGACTAGGTTTTTGTTGGCACGTTTGGCAATATGACGATTATTGTTTTTCTCTCCAGCTGTTACACATCTGTATTGAAGGTTGGGGCAACTGGCGTTGGTCAGAGCCTTTCAGTGTGGACCATGCCGGGACTTTTATTAGAACAATTCAGTACAGGGGTCGAACTGCTTCTCTCATCATCAAGGTTCAGCGACTCAATGGAGTACAAAAACAGGTAAGTTTCTTTGTGTTCCTGACCCAGACACCTCTTCATTATTCAGTGTAATGAAGAAGAAACTTAAATGAAAATAATTAGTAATTTTCTAAAAATCACAGTGGTTATACCTAGTTATATCTGCTACTAGCATGCATGTGAGCATTTAATAAATGCTTATCTATGATCCTGACAATGATGATGGCTTCAAACCCTTTGTCCCACTTCTTTTACAAGAGCTGCTAACGAGCAGTAAAATTTACTGATTTTAGTTTCACCTCTTCTCCCTGTCACCACCTACCTTCTGGTGGAGGTGCTAATGAGCTGTGAAATAGCCAAAAGTCCTTTATTGAGAAGGAAAAGCAGCAAAGAGTAGTGGGAACCCTGGATAATCCACCAGCGGATAACCAAGAGTTGGTTCTCACACGTGAGAATGATCTGTAAGGAAGTGCTGTGATACTCTCCCATGACAGAGTGGGCCTGGGTCTCCAGCAAGCTTTTCTTTTCCTAGGAGTTAATATTAACTGCAGTAAAAATTCACTGCAGCCTAACTCTTGGCATATAAAACCTCAGCTCTCAGCACATATTTTTACGTATTTTATAAAACTTCCTTTTGGCTGTTTTTGAAGTTCTAAGACTGCAAAGGGAAAAAAGTATCTGACACTTTCTTTGTGTTCTTGAGATGTGAAAATGTGGTTTCTAAAAGATGTTTTTCAAGCATGGAGCATATGACGAGTAGAAAGAAAAAAAGGAAGTATTAAAATCTGAAAACTGGCTTCACTGCACACATAATAACTGGATTTGTCGTTAGAATTTCAACATATACATTTACATCTGGATTGTAACAGTCTATCCAGAGCTTTTGTGGGACATGATAGAAACAGCACTTAGTCCCTGGAAAAGGGGAGCTTCCCCTATGGAGCAGCAGGGGCTATTCTGTTGCTGCATGCCAAGGAGGAAGCAGGAAGCTACTAGCGAGATGAACAGTAGGACCCACACCATATGCATTCTTGGTCTGCACCTAATCAAGGCGCTGGACTTGATGATCTTATTATTGTGGGCCACAGAAATAAAAAGAGAACTCAACTCTAGCAGAGGAGTCTCAGAAAAGAAGCATGGAAGACTCCCCAATTAACTGAGCATTCCTCAGAATATTTATTGATTGCCTAAAGTGGAACAAAGTAAAATGGAAAACACCAAGTATGTGAAACAATCTTTGCTTTTAAATTGCAATTTTATGTAAGCCCAACAATGTATACAACTGACAGTAAGTGTAAAGGGAATTTAGAGGTTTCACTGAGAAGATATGACTTGAGCTGGGCTTTGGAAAATATGTAGAATTTGGATTAAGAGAGAGCATTCCAAGTAGACAGTATAGCATAAACGGAGACAAATATGGGACAAATGAGTCTTACTGAAGGATTCCTGCGGGGACCAGCCTACTAGTGTGAGCATCGAGCCAAAGAGAACAAGAAGTGTCACTAACTCCCATCTGCGCTCAGAACACTCTTACATGAATTTGCTCTCAATGAATATCTGCCCAGTAAGTATGTACTAGTTTTCTGATTCTGTCACTCATGGTCTTTCAAGAATGTCTTATCCACCTTCCCATTCAGTAGTATGTCTGAGAAAAGGTCATCCAGCCTCTTTGAATAGTTCAGATGACAAGAGGCTCATTCTCTCACACAGCAGCCCTTTCTGTTGGCTACCACCAGCTAAGTTTTCTTCCTAATTTTGAACCAAAAATCTTTCACCATTCCACCACCTTTCCCTAGAACTATGAGGCATATACAACAAGCACAAAACTTGTTGTGAGGACTCCACAAGTCACCTCTCCTCTACATTACAGCCCTTCAAAAACATAAGGGAAGCTATCGTGTTTCCCCTTGGTTTTCTTCTCTCTAGGCCTTCTCAAATTTGAGAGTGTATCCGAATCCCCTGGAGGGCTTGTTAAAACACAGATTGCTGGCTCCCAACCCCAGAGTTTCAGATTGGGTGTGACCTGTAATTTGCATTTCTAACAAGTTCCCAGGTGCTGCTGATGCTGCTGGTCCAGGGACCACAATTTGACTACCATAGCTCCAGTCTAAACTTTCCCAGGTGGTTCAGCTCTTTTTAGTGTGGCTGCTAGAACGTTTATCAATTACTGAAATGGCAGGGTCCCTCCATAGAGAAATGGTTTTAATGGTATGTCCTTGTAGTCAAGATCATAGGCAACTTGGCTGTATCCGCTTGCTAGCTGTGTGATCTTCAGCAAGTCATTTAAACTCTTTGTGAATCAATTTCCTCATCTGTAAAATGGGGATAGTAATAGTGCCTTCCTCAGGAAGTTAGTGTGAGGATTAACTGAGTTTGTGTATGTAAAATGCTTACAACATGCCTGCCCTCCTGCCATAGCCCAGTGTACCATACTTAAAATTATTCTAATGAAATGTTATCGGGCATGAGTAACACTAGTTGGACATCTTTGTGTTATAACAGTAGTGACTCATTCTTGTATAGATACTATATATTTTCAAGGGATAAATTAATATATACAGTGTTCCTGCACAAAATATTACACGTTGCAACAGTATACCTACCAAATGTCATAAAAGTTGGTTATTTGAAAAATACATTTCTAAAAATGTCTGACAGTTTTACCTCTCCCCTGCCCCCTTACTCAGATACACACACCCACAAGCAAAAATGTTAAATGTCTTTTTCAATTGGATTTAATTTTTGCTGTCAGGGTAGTTTAGCGTTCAGATTTGCTCTAGTTAAAGTACATCAGAGACATAGGATTTCCTCAATTGGCAAGGTTAGGAAGGAAGAAGGGAACCAAGCTTCAGAAGAGCTTTGTGGATTCTTGCCTCCCTCACATCTTGGCTTCTTTCCTTCTACCCCCACCTGGGCCTGAAAATTTGCAATAAACTGCAGCTGCCTAATTACCAGGGCCCATTTGGGGAAGTGAGTGTGTGCAGATCCCTGATGGACCTTAACGCCCCCTGGATAATGGAGAATTGGCTAAAGCTCTTTTTTAACATTGATGCTGGGTTATCTGTGCTCTGCATTTTCTTATACCCCTCTCATTTTCCCCAATTGAATGAAAACTGACCACAGAAAATTTTGTGGGAACTTTGTATGTTCTACAACCACTCATGTACACATATTTGCTTCCATGTTTCCCATCCTTTTGTTGAAGAAACCTTTACTACTCTAAAATCTCAAATGTACATATGTATGTATGTATAATGGTGTCTTTATACACATACTTTTAATCACGGTTAAGATATCATTTTCCAGTGCATCTGGTGCTCTGGAGTTATTCTTTAATATCACTGTTCTTCTTGGCACTGATCTAATAAGAGTACTGAAACCTGCTAAGTAAAATCATATGTGGAAATCTTCAATACACATCTTTGTGGCTTTGAGGAAGGAGGAAAATTAGTGTGAAACCTGGAAATGTGTATTAAAGAGAAACTGTGCATTTAAAAAAATTAAGTAGCTGTCTTCAACTGATAAATTAATCTTGAAATTCTAACCATAATTTTCAAAATAAAGGCATTGTAAGTTTGCCACTTTGAAGAAAAGCAGATATAGCTCTTCTGAACCTAACCCTGGAACAGCCGTGAAAGCACACTACTCCACTGAGTGACCATTTTTGGATTTTCCTTCATCTAAAGTAGCCTTCCCTCCCTGGCCACTTTTAAGAATTTTCTTTTTATCAAATTCGAAAGCCTATTTAACAGGCTTTTTAGTTGAAAATGAGACTATAAAAACCCACCAAGAGGATCTTTGTCTTGGATAAACCAAGTGAGTCCCAGATGGTTGTGGAGATTCTGTGGTTTCTATGAGAGACAGCAAAATTCTCTTCTAAATCTCCAGGGGTCCAAAGGTTCTGAAGCAAGAGCCATGTGCATATATTGCCAGGCTTGGACACATCAAGAATAACAGAGTTAAATACTGCTTCAGAGTTTTCAAATGTTTTTCAAGTTAGGCAATGCTATGGCATCATAAGACTTACCATGAGTGTCTAGTAACCCCTAGCATATGCTAAAGAAAAGTTTGCTTCCTAATTTAGGATCATAGTTCAGTTGACTTTTATGGTTTGTTATTGTGAAAGCCTAGTTTTAAAAGATTATAATGACTAGAGTATCTAAGGGAAATATAACAGTTAAGCACAGCTTGGTTTTACAGATGTGCTCCTTCTAAAGAAAATTCAAATAAGCAGATAGTTGAGAAATAAATGTTTGAGAAAAAGCTAAACCTCACCATTCAAATAATGCAAATTAAAACAACAATGACATTTAATTTTTGGTTCCTCAATCTAGCAGGTTTCTTTTGATTAAATAACAGTTCATCCCAGTGTAGTGGCTCATGCCTGTGATCCCAGCACTTTGGGAGGCTGAGGCAGGAGAATCACTTGAGCCCAGGGGTTCGAGACCAGCCTGGTCAACCTAGCAAGACCCTATCTCTGCAAAAAATAAAATAAATTAGCCAGGCATAGTGGCATGTGCCTGTAGTCCAACCTACTTAGGAAGCTGAGGCAAGAAGATCCCTTGAGTCCAGGAGTTCAAGGCTGCAGTGAGCTGAAATCTTGCCACTGCATTCCACCCTGGGTGACAGAGCGAGACCCCCACCTAGAAATAGTTATAATAGTTCATTTATAAATAGTTATTCATATTTATTTTTGTAAATAATAGTTCATTAAAATTGATGGTTACAGAGAAGTCTTAATGACATAGGAAAATGTATCAGTTAGGATGCTTTCAGTTTGAAGTTACAAAATATGCTTGTTAATCTTCATAGCAAGTTAATGAGGCAGATACTATTCTATTTTATGTTTACTGTTTCACATAACAAGGAGGAGGAAGGCTGATTCAGTATCGGCTAACTAAGCAACCCAGTGTTGTATCTGCTTCTCTGTCATCCTCTTAGATTTGCCTGCCTGGTCTCAGATGGCAGTAAAAGCTGTATACATCCTCTGATAACAGCTTCTGTGACAGAAAAGAAGGGCTTCCCTTCTCAACCTGTCTCCCTTATTATCAAGGAGTAATATCTTTCCTAGAGCCTTTTACCAGTCTTCCCTTCTCATATTATTGGCCAATCCAGAGTTCCATATTTACCCTAATCAATGGCAAAAGGAGAATGGAATTAACAGGATTGGCTTGTACCAATCATGATACAGCCACTGGGGACCAAGGGAGGTGTCTACCTTCCCTGAGTACTTTGCTGCCTTTTGCTAACTAACCAAATCAAATCAAGTGAGGGTTTTTCACAATAAGAGGAAAGGATAGAACAGCTATTGGGAAGGGAAGAAATGGTGTCTTTATAACATAACTGTTATAAAGAGCAGCCCTTATTTTCTTTTTTATGGTTTCTAACTTTTCTTAATGAGGAGATATTAATTTTATGACAGACAGACTATCAGGGTGACGATCAACAAACTCTGGGCCAGACTTACTGGGTAACACCAAGCAAGTTATTAAATATCTCTGTTAAATTTTCTGTCTGTTAAGATGGGGAGTCATAGTAGCACCTAGTTTGTAAGGCTGCTCTGAGAATGTGTTCTCCAGAAAAACAGCACTAATGAGGGGGTGTATGTGTGCAAACCTATGCACGCACACATGTACGTGCATGGGTGTGTGGAAAAAGAATGATTTATTATAAATTGACTCATGATTATGAAACATGTGACATAATCTTAGAGAAGTCCCAAGATCTGCAGTCAGCAAGCTGCAGACCCAGGAGAGCCAATGTGTAGCTCCCATCTGAGTGCAAAGGCCAGAGAACCAGGTGAGCCAACAGTGTAAGTTCCAGTCCAAAGTCTGGCAGGTACAAGACCCAAGAAGAGCTGACACTTCATTCCAAGTCTAAAGGCCAGAAAAGACCAGTGCCTTAGCTCAAGCAGTCAGGCAGAATGAATTTCCTCTTAGCCTTTTCCTTCGATTAGGTCTTCATTTGGTTAGATGATGCCCACCCATGTTGGGGAAGATGATCTGCTTTACTCAGTCTACCAATTCAAATGTTCATCTCACTCAGAAACACCCTCACACACACACCTAGAATATTTGACTAAATGTCTGCTCATACCATGACCCAGTCAAGTTGACATACTAAAATTAAACATCATATGCTTAGACTTATACATATACTCTGTGTGTGTGTGTGTGTGTGTGTGTGTGTGTGTGATTATAATCTTGAAAAATATTACAAATAGGAAATTCAGTATATGAAAGTCCTATTTTCTCCAGTCATGGTGAATATTCATATTACAGAAGGATTTGCTTTCTGAAAAAAAAATTCACCACCATATTAAATTTTGCATTATCTTTTCAATTTCAACCAATTTAAGAAAACATTTGTTGTTTTTTGTAGAGACAGGGTCTTGCTCTATCACCCAGGATGGAGTACAGTGGTGCAGTTATAATTCACTGCAGCCTTGAACTCCTGGGCTCAAGTGGTATTCCTGCCTCAGCCTTCCAAGTAGCTGTGACTACAGGCATACACCACCATACCTTGCTGATTTTTAAATTTTTTGTTTAGATGGGATCTTGCCATGTTTCCCAGGCTGGTCTCAAACTCCTAACCTTGGCTTCACAAACGACTGGGATAACAGGCATAAGCCATCATACCAGGCCCCCGTTTGTTTGTTTGTTTGCTGTTTGTTTTTGAGACGGAGTTTCACTCTTGTTGCCCAGGCTGGAGTGCAATGCGTGATCTCGGCTCACCACAACCTCTGCCTCCCAGGTTCAAGCAATTATCCTGCCTCAGCCTCCCGAGTAGCTGGGATTACAGGCATGTGCCACCACGCCCAGCTAATTTTGTATTTTTAGTAGAGAGGGTTTCTCCATGTTGGTCAGGCTGGTCTCGAACTCTCGACCTCAGGTGGTCCACCTGCCTTGACCTTCCAAAGTGCTGGGATTACAGGTGTGAGCCACCACACCTGGCCAAGGCCCCCATTTCTTAATACCTACTATGAACTATACTCTTACCTGGGTGTAAAGTTGAATAACCCATAGGTTTAGTGGATAATTCTGTGTGTTTATAAAGATAAAACTTACACAGTTTAGGCTGGGCACAGTAGCTCATGCTTGTAATCCCAGCATTTTGGAAGGCTGGGGTGTGAAGATTACTTGAGCTCAGGAGTTTGAGACCAGCCTAGGCAACACTGTGAAACCCCATCCTACAAAAAAACAGAAATGTTAGCCAGATGGGGTGGTGCATTCCCTGTAGACCCAGCTACTCTGGAGGCTGAGTTGGGAGGATTGTTTGAGCCTGGTAGGTTGAGATGGCAGTGAGCTGTGATCATGCCACTGTACTCCAGCCTGGGTGAAAGAGCAAAATCCTGTCTAAAAAAACGAAATAAACTGAAAAAAAATTTTAAAAATTAGATATTGGCATTAAAGATTATTTGTATTATCTGTTTATACAGAGATTTCTTACTAGATAAGAGTGCAATAAACCCTTGAAAATCAACTTCAACGAATGGATTGATCACAGTTGCCCTCTCAATTACCAGAGCTAAATGATTTTCAATTCCCAGTCTTTTCCATTTGTACATCACTTGACAAGATTCACTGCCACCTCCTGGGCAGGCACTTCTCTTATGGCTTCAGCAAAACTACTGTCCCCGATTCACCTCTATTCTCCTTCACCCCTTCTTCTCTGGCCCCATTTTCTAGCTCCTCACCCTGAGTCTGCCCCTGGAGTATTGGTCAGTTTCTGGGTTTGAGCTTCTACCCTCTCTTTCAGGTAAACTATCTTCTGTTCATGCATGTTTGCAAGGTTTTCCTTTCACAAATCATTATCTCCACCGCCACATTGTCTCTGGCCAGCACCTGACCAGCATTTCAATTGAGTACTGGACTCCATGGAGGAGTCTGTCCTGTAAATAGCAAACTCAACATGGCCAAAGCAAAATTTCTTCTTGACTTCAAGTCTTTTTTCCTTCTTGTACTGTTTAAGCTAATTACTTCATTTTCTTTCCATTAACATCAACATAGTTTATTTTGTTTGATCGATAACATATTTCCAGTTAATGAAGTCTGAATTGATGAAGACTTATGTACTTACTGTCTTTTAGATTATCATCTGTGGAAGACAGATCATCTGTAGTTACTTGTCTCAAAGCATAGAACTAAAAGTCGTTCAGCATTACATTGGTCAAGATGGACAAGCTGTAGTTCGGGAACATTTTGACTGCCTCACAGCCAAACAGAAACTGCCTTCATATATACTAGAAAACAATGAACTGACAGAGCTGTGTGTGAAGGCCAAAGGAGATGAAGACTGGTCAAGAGATGTGCGCCTGGAATCCAAAGCCCCTGAATACAGCATTGTCATTCAGGTTTGAAAAGAACTTCAATCTAGAGTAGAGCAGCTTTAACATTGAAATTTTCTCAAAATGTTCTTTACTTGTATAGCACTTAATTTATTAAAAAGTGATATATAAAAAAGGGGGGAGAAAGGCTTTGAATAGTACTTCTCAAACTGTTTACTCCCCATCCCACAACAATATATTTGTATCAGTTCCAGTAGTTCTTACAGCCAAGACTCTGTCCCTCCCAGATGCAAGTGATATCTTGAAAAAGATCCTGCTGCCCCAGGGTTAGGGGTGGGGTGGGACTGGGGGTGGTATCCTCCTCACTTAAGGATTTTTGTGATGGTCTGTTACTTTATCTCTTCCTCAGTCTTTACCATCATCACTTTCATTCCCATAAAGGATAAATTCTCTTTCATTTTGCCAGTCAGTCTCATATCTCTCCTTATGCAATCTCTTTGTCTTTATGGAAAGAGTTGGCCCCGTCGACTCACTGCACATTTGCTTTATGCCATAATGAAGTCTGCTTTTGCTTAGTTTTTTTTAAATAATGGCTTTTTCTCTATAACTTTAAACTCTTTTTAATCTTCCAAACTGATATATCTGTGCCTTATTTTGATTAATTAGTAAACTGCTTAGTACTCAATAGGACCCGTTTCTATTTCATGTGCAGGTGCCATCTTCAAACAGTTCCATTATTTATGTCTGGTGCACAGTTTTGACTTTAGAACCCAACTCTCAAGTGCAACAACGAATGGTGAGTGCTTTCCCAATCCTAAAATATGGTATATGACTCTGACCTTTCCTGTTCTGAAATAAATTAAGGTCAGAGTGACCTAGGGAAGAGATTTATTGCAAGTTTGTTTCAGCATCAAACAGCTGGAATACTGCAACAAAGCAAATATGAAAGTTGTTCTGTCCTTTTATTTTTATAGATTGTGTTCAGCCCTCTTTTTATCATGAAGAGTCATCTTCCAGACCCCATTATCATACATTTGGAGAAAAGGAGTCTGGGATTGAGTGAAACACAAATTATTCCAGGAAAAGGGCAGGAAAAACCACTGCAAAACATAGAACCTGACCTTGTACATCACCTGACATTCCAAGCAAGGTACTAGAAAAATCCTTCCCTACATTTTCCTAAGAGAAATTAAGTAGAAAAGTAACCTTGCACTGGGGAGGGTAGGAGGTGGGTGGGAAGATGGGGTGGAGGGAGTTTTTTGTATGATTTCTTATCTTATGAGAATGTTATTTTAAAATTGCCCTGCCTAGTGACCTCTTATTCTCATCTATAGTTTTAGATAAAAATCAGCCTTTCTCATTAAGCATAGATATAATCAAGAGGAATCATCGGAAATTTTAATTTCGATTTCATTGACACATGACTTCTGTAGTGAAAGAAGATGTGAATAGAGATCAACACCCAGGAATTGAGGGGTGGGGGAAGAAAGAGGAAAAGCCAGGGCCCAGATCATCCACACACTGTCCCATAAATGGACTCTATCTACCAAAAAGGTGTTGGTCTGTAATACATGTGTAGTTAGATATTTTTCAATAAATTGTAGACCACTTTAGAAATCTGATATTTATTCTTGGTTTTTCTTTCAATTTCCTAGAGAAGAATATGATCCTTCAGATTGTGCAGTTCCCATCTCAACATCCCTCATTAAGCAAATAGCCACTAAGGTACACCCTAGAGGCACAGTTAATCAGATCCTTGACGAATTCTATGGGCCAGAAAAGTCGCTTCAACCCATATGGCCCTATAATAAGAAGGATTCTGACAGGTAACATTCTTCAGTGATCTTTTTCTACAAAAATTTCTCAATATTAACAAATGATCATTCACAAAAATATTAAATACCATAAGTGGTGTGTGCATGTATGTGTCAGATTCTTACCTTTTATCATCTAGTAGGTGTATTTTGTAGATTTCTTTATTCATGATCTAGATCATAATTGCATGAAAAGTTGCTTTCTCCTGCATGCAAATTTAGCATTGAAAGATTCTGGTATGAGGTATCATGCAGGAACATGGTGTGTTTGGAATCTTTAAACATATTTCACAAATATTAAAGTTATCATATTTCATTGAGTCTCTTGGATGTGGTGTTTGGAACAGGAATGAACAGCTAAGTCAGTGGGATAGCCCAATGCGAGTGAAGCTGTCAATCTGGAAGCCATATGTTAGAACTTTGTTGATAGAACTTCTGCCCTGGGCCCTGCTTATCAATGAGTCCAAGTGGGACCTCTGGCTATTTGAAGGAGAGAACATTGTTCTACAGGTTCCTGCTGGCAAAATTATTATTCCTCCTAATTTTCAGGTACTAAACTTTTTTAATTAATATGAATTCTTATCTCTCAACAAGTAGATTTTATTGTAAAGTTGTGTTTATGATCTTCACAGAATGAATCAGTTGTGAAAAATTCTTCTTAGATGCATATGTAAGAGGTATGGAATGGTCTTTGAATATTCAAGGACTTTTCTGATGTCTTTTTTTTTTTTAAAAAAACCATCAACACTATTGGTGCTTGAGTTACCATTAAACTTGATAACTTGGATTAGTTACATTCTCATTCCATTGGCATAGGATATTTGACAGGTATTCGGGCTGGTCTATCAGTATATATTAAGGAAATATAGCCATCATGTGTGCTTATCCATACCCTAGGTATTCTTTGCTGTTCTTCAGGAAATTCTCTGCAGTCTGCAAGATACTGAGGATTTCAGAGCAACTGTTTTTGTCAGGGCCCCTTTTCCTTTATAAGTGGACTTGGATGTTCATAATTATGGCTGTCTACCCAGTTGTTGATTATAACAACATGGAATGATTACTGACACAGAGAGAAACCTAATTGCGAACCAAAATATCACAGGAAGATTTTATATGCTGTCACAAAACCTTCTTCATAAGGCTAGTCTGTTTCAAGAAGACACACAAATCTATAAAAAAAAAAAATATATAGAGTAAAAGGAACTCCTAAATACAATGTCTTTCTGATAGAGAACAATTTCAGAATCCTTTTTTGAGCTCCAGGTCATAAACATCTTTATTCAATTGCATTTTTTCTTTTTTTGTAAAATCAGATGATGTTACCTTATGGAATTGGAATGTTGACCTATGTGGACCTAATGTTAGATATTATTCTCTTGTCAAATGAGATGAAACCTTCAGTTTTTAAAGCCTTTGGTATTTACAGGGTAGTCACTGTTTGGGTTTGGTTTTCCCCTCCCTCCCGTAAATACGAATTCCATTGTGAGTACAAAAATAAAAATACATTGGGAGCCAAAATAAAATGTACGTTGCCATTACAAACACACACACACACACACACACACACACACACATACACACACAAAAACCATGGAGGGATATTTGGTTGCCTTAGTAGACCTATTATATAATATTTTTAAAACAGCCTGAGGATTGAAGTAAAAAATATCAAAGTTAAGAAAATTACTTTATAATCGAGGCATTATTTTTCCAGGAAGCTTTTCAAATTGGAATATACTGGGCAAATACAAACACTGTGCACAAGTCAGTAGCAATTAAACTGGTCCATAACCTGACATCTCCAAAGTGGAAAGATGGAGGTAATGGCGAAGTTGTGACATTGGATGAAGAAGCATTTGTTGATACTGAAGTAAGACTTGGTGCTTTGCCAGGACATCAGAAGGTAAGATCAAAGTCTGTGTGGCTGGGAGAAAATAGCATGCCATCCCCTTAACCTGTTTAAAATGAATCTGCCTTTTTCTTTTTAATACCTTTTTCATATTACTTGTTCTAAACAATTTGTAATAGTAAAACATTTGATTTCTTAACTTCTTAGACCTCTCTGTTTTACAGTGCTTTTTTTTCTTTACCAGTGATAAAAGCTGTGTCACATAATTTATCCAATAATTGTTCTATTTCAGAATACTCAGCAGTCACTTGATTTATAGTATGTGGGGAGAAAATGAACTTACTCCAAAATATCCACAAATTGTACTTGGCCTCCTTCTTTAGAGCAGAAAGTAGAGTCACTAACATTCTGAGCATAGAGTGAAAGGACAAAGGCTCGTCCTGCAGCAAAGGTTATATTTCTGGAAAGGACATCCTGAGCAAAATTATGTGGATCAATTCTAAATCTCCCCTAGAACCATGGTTATAAGAGGAAGTTATATTCTTGAACAGTGGACTGGTGTCCATGTTTTAGAGATAGATACAAAAAACGTAAGTTATTTAAATATAAATGGTATGTGCTTTTCAGCATAAATCTAAAGTCTATTAAAACCAACTAGCTGAATAATATAACTAATCACATCACTTATGAAAGTACAATATCACAGTGTACCGTGCAGAAGTTTTATGCTGTACTTCTAATATCATCATTATTTTAGCTGTCCCAAATTAGAAAAAGAGGGGATACTTCATCAAAGTAGTAGAATTCAGAATGACTTTTTTCAGGGGAGAAGTTATATTTTTGACAGGTGTCTTTGAAAAGTCTTTTGAGAAAAGTTAGGGTCATTTGGTGACTTTTAAAAAAATAAATTTCCCTGATACAAAGAAATTGGTCTTTCTTCAGCATTCAAGGCTGGTATCCATTTCCTCAGAGTTGTCTGGGCAACACATGTTTATACTCTGACAGCCAAAGTACTGTAACATGGGTGTAAATGGCAAAGAGCTGTAAGCATGAATCACCCAAAGTTGAATAGTTGTAAGTTGAGAACTACCATCAAAACCTGGAAAAAATGTTATAATATTCAGTCAACACCCAATACCTCTAGCACCTAACAAAGTAGCCACAACAAGTGTTGAATAAATGTTTGTGAATCAATGAAAGTACTGTTGGAAAACATATTGATGTCTCATTATGCTTTGGTAGTGACTCAGGACCTCCTTATACTCTTTTTAGTCTCAGGACCCCTTTATATTCTTAAAAATTATTGATTACCCCCAAAGACCTTTTGTTTCTGTGGGTTATATCAATATTGACCAGATTAGAAATTAAAACAGAAACTTTTAAAACACAAGAATATACAAAGATATATTCCATTAGCTATCACAGTAATAACATCATATGTTATGTACCTCTGGAAAACTCCACTGTATGTTCATGACAGAATTCAATTGTAAAAGATTAATAGCATCTTACTATTATTATACAAATAGTTTTGACCATGGGACCCCATGCCCAGAGATCCCCTGTGGGTCCCCAGACCACCCTTTGAAAACCAGTGTTCTGATATTATTAACTAGATGGGTATGTTTAAGCAAGAAACATCTTCTCTGAGCATCAGTTCCTTGCATAACATGGTAAGGTAATGAAATGATACATGTAGTGGTTAAGAGCAGCACCACAGAGCCAGACTGCATGGGTTCCAACCCCCTAGTTAGACCCTATTCATCTTTGTGACTTTGGGGAAGTTACTTAACCTCTTTGTGCCTCACTTTCCTCTTCTGTAAAATGGGGTTAATAATAGTAACTCCCCCATGTAGGTACTGTGAGAATTTTTTGAGTTAATATGTATACAGCACTTGAAACTAGTAGAACACAATATTGCAATATATGAAGGTCAATCCTTATTGTCTTCGTTGTCATTACTGAAGTTTTTAGAACTCTCCTTGGTTCATCATAGTCATTAGCGAGGTAGCTGCTGGAAGACCATAAGGAGGAGGAGGAGGAGGAGGGAGGCTGGGTGGAATTCTGCCAAGATGAGTGGCATTTATTTACATATACCTGCTTTCTAAATAAACACTTTATGATGTTATTGGTCAAACAAGCGGAAAACAAGTCTTTTATCTGTCACTACTAACAGCAGCAAAAGTAACGGGGTTGCTAAAGCACCATGTTGTAGACTGAATACCAACAGGAGTCAGAACATTTCTGAGACTGAAAGGAACACCATTAAATATTCTGGGGAAAAAAAACGGTAAAATTGGTACTGTCCTGGCAGACAATTAGATAAAATAGCCTTTTAGGAGTACTCAAGAGATTTTAATATGCCTTACAGTATTGTCAAAATTACTTTTTTCTCAATTATCTTGTAGTTATGTCAGTTCTGCATTTCCTCCACGGTACAGCAAGGTATACAAATTATTCAGATTGAAGACAAGACTACAATAATCAACAATACACCATATCAAATATTTTATAAACCACAGCTATCTGTCTCCAGTTCCCTTTCTGGAAAGGAGGTAAGCAAATCATAACATGATTCTTTTGTCTAAGTTTTGATAAAGAAACAATAAATAGGATCAACTTCTCTTTAACCTATAGCAAATGAAAAGCTAACCCTGAATGTACGTAAAGAGAAATTCACTTATTTTTGTTGTAATTAAAACCATGAATGTCATGGTCACTGCTTCCAAGGTAATTAATGAGCAGAAATCCTACCAAGAAGGAGGCCCTGACACACTGCTGGATTAGTCCTGCCTGTGCCCCATCTGCACAGAGGCTCCAGCCCAGTCCTCTAGCATGCTCACTAGACTCCTACAAGCAGACACATAGTCCTGAGGACTGGCTCCTGGGTCACATGGAAAAGCACATCTGTCTCACAGGCTGCAGTGCCTGGGGGAGACATGCAGGCAAAAGGTTAGGGCCTAACTGAGCCGTGGATCTGCGAGCAGTGAGCTCTGTGGTTTTGAGGAGAATAAATGTAGAAATGTACTAGCCCATTTATGTTAACATCTTGATGGCAGAATATATGGAAAATAAATCTAAATTTCAGTTCTTTGTACAGTTAAAATGAGTAGTTATATTTTGAGAGGAGAGTTTGTTTTTTCTCTCTCTCCATTGCATCTTAGATGTTTTCCTTTTTTTTTTTTTTTTTTATTATACTTTAAGTTCTGGGATACATGTGTAGAACAGTGCAGGTTTTTACATAGGTATACATGTACCATTGGTGGTTTGCTGCACCCATCAACCCGACATCTACATTAGGTATTTCTCCCTTCCCTTTCCTCCCGCTCCCTGACAGGGACCCCTGGTGTTTAGTTGTCCCCCTCCTTGCCCATGTGTTCTGATGTGTTCAACTTCCCAGCTTATGAGCAGAAACATGCGGTGTTTAGTTTCTGTTCCTGTTAGGTTTGCTGAGAATGATGGTTTTGCAGTCTGATCCATATCCCTGCAAAGGACATGGAACTCATTTCTCTTTTATGGCGGTGCATAGTGTTCTGTGCTGATATGTGCCACATTTTCTTTATCCCCAGTCTATCACTGATGGGCATTTAGGTTGGTTCAATCTTTGCTATGTGAATAGTGCTGCAATAAACACACATTGTGCATGTGTCTTTATAGTAGAATGATTTATAATCCTTTGGTTTGATTACCCAGTAATGGGATTGCATGAGTCAAATGGTTTTTCTAGTTCTAGATCCTTGAAATTGCCACAGTGTTTCCAATGGTTGAACTAATTTACACTCCCACCAACAGTGTAAAAGTGTTCCTATTTCTCCACATCCTCTCCAGCATCTGTTGTTTCCTGATTTTTTAATGACTGCCATTCTAACTGATGTGAGATGGTATCTCATTGTGGTTTTGATTTGCATTTCTCTAATGACCAGTGATGATAAGCTTTTATTCATGTTTGTTGACCACGTAAATGTCTTCTTTTGAGAAGTGTCTGTTCATATCCTTTGCCCACTTTCTGATGGGGTTGTTTGTTTTTTTCTTGTAGATTTGTTTATGTTCCTTGTAGATTCTGGATATTAGCACTTTGTCAGATGGATATATTGCAAGAATTTTTCTCCCATTCTGTA